GCCTTGTAACTCTTTCCCTACAAATATCAAGGATAATATAGTGAAAATTATCTGATAAATAAATAAAAACTCTACGCTCAAAACTCATAACTTGATCAACAGGAAATCCAAGTAAGGACCATTATAGTACCACACTGTGCCCACAGCATACTGTTTGATTGACAGGTGATCTTTGGGGAGTGCAGCACAGGCACACCAGGAGGTGAGAGCTTGACACCAAAAATAGAAAAATAAATAAATAAAATCAGTTACTCTGGCTTAATATCTGAACATACCATCTCAAATTTTATAAACTCCATATTTTGATGATTTTTCTCTACTCCCCTTCACTCTACTTCACATGTGTGCCTGTGTGTCTGTGAAATGAGCTGCCACCCCATTTTTTATTGATTTGGCCATGGGGGTTTGGAGGATGAAGTCAAGGAGAGCTATACACCAGGCTATGGCAATAAATCTGTGTGCAACCATAAATGTGTGTGTGGCAAAGGGCTGAAGCAGACAAAGGATCAGGTGTGTCCTACTGCCCTGAATGCTGCATTCCTTTACACTCTCTCTCTCTCTCTCTCTCTCTCTCTCTCTCTCTCTCTCTCTCTCTCTCTCTCTCTCTCTCTCTCATATTCATTTTCATTTTGTAATTAAGTGACAGTCAATAATTCCTGCATTTATTCCTTTAACAACACAAAATACAATAAATGTATGGTTGGCAAAAATAAAGACATATCATACAAACATATTTTCACATGAATAAAATAAACCCTATAGGCATACATTATTGTCTGTGCTCTGTTGAGCATGAATTATCATTAGATGTATTACTATCTGCTCGTTCAAAACTAGGCCAGCTTCATGAATGCCTCAAAAGCAATGTCTTGAGCCTCAACTCATAATTAGGGTATGCTTGGCATCCTACATGCCGAACACATTTTTATGAAAGGTTTCCTGCATGTGTGTGCACTCCAGGATACTGAGTGATTTGTCTCATTGCTGTACAACCCTCAGAAAATGGTGGTTCTCAGAATGCAGTTTCTCGTCTGGTGTCCTTACAATGCCACAAAGACAAAGTTGTGTGTGTGTGTGTGTGTGTGTGTGTGTGTGTGTGTGTGTGCGTGCGTGAAGCAGAGGTGAGACACATAGTGATCCAGGGCAGAGGGAGAATTTTTCAGGCCTAATGTTCCATGACAACGGACCAAGGTTCCGTCAAGGGGAATCAGAGCCACTGCCGCCTGAAACGCACATACACAACACACACACACACACACACACACACACACACACACACACACACACACACACACACTCACAAATCTTTCCCCCCACTACTCCTCCTTTGTCTCATCCTGTCTCTCCCCAATCCCCCTCGTAAACTTGGCTTTCTTTCTCCTGTCCTCTCTTCCCATCAGATTTCCTTTTTACCTTACCATATTTTTCCCTTTCCAATTCTTTAACCTCCTGTCCTCTTACTTAAACTTTAATTATGTAGTTCTTAATCACAGTTACACACTGAATAGGCTTCACGACAGCCACAGCGGGTTAAAACAACAGCTCCTAACCTTTGAGACCTTAGAGGACACACACAGATAAAACAGCTCCTCCCTTTTCTCCTGTCCCTGCACCCCTTGCCTCTCCTCAACAATAAATGAAACAGAAAATTGTCATTGACTACAAAATATCTACAGACATAGTAATCTATGGAACTCTGCTTAGCAAAAGTCCAATATCCCATTACTATTTCATTCCCTATTGCATGTGTCTATTCGTTTCTGTCTGTGTGCGACAGCAAAATCGGGGAAAAAATGATGGCGTGATAAGTCAGTGATTGGTTGACTTGGGGGTGCAGCCTTGGCAACGGAGGTTGTTGATGTATTCTTGCGTGTTAACATTCTGTGTGTGTCACCCTGCTGTCTACCTGCCCCACTTAGATCAGCCATCTGAGTGTGTGTTTGTGTGGGAGGAAGAGAGATTATGTTTGTATGTTTCTGTCCCTGTTGTATTTGTTTATATATGTTTCACATATGGGGCTGGGTGGGTACAGTATTGTGCAGTGTAATGCAAAGAGAAAATTCCTATTCAAATGCTGGTCACAAATTACTGAATTGAAGACTGACTGAGAATAAGAAGGGAAGCCCCACAATAGGAAAAAAAAGCGTATTTGGTTAAGATAAGGAAATAAGACGAAGAGAGCAGGGTTGCACGAGTTGGATAAAAGAAATAATCCCTGGGAGGAATATAAGAAGAAATCAGACTTCTAAAGGAACAGAATAATACAATTTTGACAACAAAAACTAGGTGACAAATGCTTCTTTTAATTTCAACTCTGCAACTACAGTAGTATCTCTGATGAGAAGCTTAAAACAGCCACAACCATGCAGGGAAATTTTCCTACTGTTTTGATGTTGACCTCCTTTTTTTCGCCAAAGGAACTAACCATGCTGTTTTTTTAATTCTCCCCTCCTTTTTTACCTCTCTCCCCATGACCCCCTTCACATTTCCTATTTGTACGTCTACTCTTATCATCTCATCTCTTCTTCTTCCAAACCCAAACACCCCACGGCATCCGCCTCCCCCTGCCTCGTCTGTCAGTTTGCAAAGTGGGGTTTTACCGCTCGCTGCTTGAGTCTTTGGCCTGCAGTAAATGTCCACCCCACAGTTTGGCCAGGCAGACAGGAGCCACTGCTTGCAGCTGTGAGGATGGATACTATAAGATTGACTCCGACCCTCCCAATATGGCCTGCACACGTAAGGATATAACACCTTTATATTTGTGCTTTCTTATCTATGATTATTCTTGGAAATTTTGAAAGTCGAATGTGTAACTTTTGCTCCTCAAGATGCTGTTATATGATATTACTGGATGCATTTGTTTTACGTCCTCTAACCCCTTGCCATCTCTCTCAGATCCTCCCTCTGCTCCACGTAATGCCATCTCCAATGTCAACGAGACCAGTGTCTTCCTGGAGTGGTCCGTTCCCATGGAAACAGGTGGCAGGAAGGATGTGCGCTACAACATCCTATGCAGACGGGTTTTGCCAGATGGAAGGGGCCTGGAAGAATGCGGCCCCAACGTACGCTTTTTGCCACGTCGTGTCGGCCTGTCAAACACCTCTGTGATGGTGGCCGACCTGCAGTCACACACTAACTACAGCTTCCTGCTGGAGGCTGTCAACGGGGTGTCAGAGCTGGCCAAAGACCACGCGAAGCAGTATGTGTCACTTAATGTGACAACCAATCAGGCAGGTATGTTGCGCCAGATCTGTCACAACTGTCAATACTTGCCTTTTTTTGACAATCACAGTCTCCCACTGAGTTTTCCAGTAAACACCAAAATTGTCCCATTTTTTCCCCCCAGTATTTAAACGTGTTCTGAATGTCCCAACCGATCTCATCACCATTTTGTCATGACTTTTTTATCTCCATTCTTATGGAGACTGCCAGAGGCCAACCTGTGTGTCGGATTCCTGGCATGAATATCTGGGTTTGAAAACAAAGACACCAGATGATGAAATTATCACACTATTTGTCCAGCAAGTCTGTCGATGTGTTAATTTTCCCTCGAGCACCATCCCTGTAGTGAATAAGAGAACATTGCACAGTGGCAAGCTTTTTTGTTTTTGCTTTTGCATCCAGATTTGTCATTTGTCAAAAAGAAGCTTGCCCCCCCCTCAATTAGGCAGTACATTTCATCAACAAGATTTGCAGGAATTGGTGGCATAATGAAAGCTCTTGATTTGCGGGCTGTATGGGGTCTTGTGTGGTAGCAGGTGTTAGCCTGCATGTCTATCATCAATGATGAATCAGGCTGGGAAGTACTATTATTGATCAACTCTGACCAAAAAAGAAAACTTCAGTTGGTATTCTGTTTTGCACTTGTAGCTGTTGGGCATATTTTATTATCTGCGATACCAGAGCAGCTTAGAAAATCTGTGTAACTATAAGTGTGAGTAAGGCACTAAACCAATAGCACAGTGGCCACACATAAAAGACTACTCTCATATTGGACGATGAAAGAATCCAACTGCTCCCCATAGCTGTAAATATTGTAAGTTTTGTTGGCTTTCCTTTTAACATGGAGATTAAAATTCATATCTGCATTGGGAACCCACTTTTATGTTTACGGGAGGAATGTGCATGTGTAGTTTATTTTATTTGTTTGTAATGAAATGGGTAGCACACAGCGTAATGAAATGAGAAAAAAATAGGATGTTAATACTCTCCTTCCCAAGGCTTCCATCTGTAGGGGAGTTTTGAAGGAGCATGTTTGTTCCTCTTTGTTGAACAGATGGTTCATTGGCAGCCAAGTAATAGTAGGAAGTAGTAGTAGTAGCACAGATGCTGTGTGTGTGTGTGTGTGTGTGTGTGTGTGTGTGTGTGTGAGAGAGAGAGAGAGAGAGAGGGCAAGCAAGAGAAGCAGACAGTTGTCTGACAGTCAAGAGAATTGACGACCCTCGAACTGTGTTGTCACTGTGGCTGTCGGCAGACTGAGTGGATTACACCAGACTACAGAACTCACATTCAGTTTATTGGAGTTGTAGCTGGATTAAAGTTAGCCAGTCACAGGACCAAATGGAGATTAGGGATTACATTAGATTACACATGGCTTGTGGAGTCACAGACAGATAAAATGTGCTGCTCTTTGGCATGGATGTGGCACAAGCGTTTTATTTCGATATTAGAAAATTTACACTCTTATATAATTAATCAAAACTTAATATTGGCTGCGCCTTTCAGACAGGTTAGTGCAGTTCAAAGGTGAGAAAGTAATCAGACCACCCACACAAATATAAATTTGAATTAAAAACAATTCAAATAAAGAAGTGAAGTCAGGCTAAAGGCATGTTTGAATTTGCCAATAGGAACTGTAATTCCAAAATCATGTACATTTTATTGGAGAAAATAATTTAAAATAATTTAAATGCATTAATAAGTACAGAAACATTTACAGGACAGTGAAATGGAAACATTGGAAGATTGACAGATTTTGAACAGCTGTAACAATAGCGATGTTTAGCTGGTCCAAATATCTAGAACACAGTTTGCCGAACATCTGTGCAAACATGTGTGCTTACATGCAGATGTTTTAAAGTTTAAAGTGTTCAGATCAACTATTTACCATCTACCATATTTTGCCAAGTAAATGCAGTAACTATAGTTTACTGCTAAGGAATTACAGCTGCATCACTATAAATCTCTTACTTTTAGTATTACTCATCAGTTCAGTTAACAATAGTTTTACATATAATTGTAAACTTTATATGACTATTAAAATAATGTGATCATATTTATTTATTAGCAGGTAATTGCACTGACTAGTCAGTTCACCAAACTATCCCATCAACACCATGTGTCCTTCTAGGTCAATGGTTCCCAACTTGGGAGGTCGGACCTCTCCAATGGTCAAAAGATAAGTGTGATAATCCACAGGATAAGAAAGGAGAATGGCAAGGCAATAATCATATTATTATTAACACTTTAACTTAACTCTGATCCTGCCTCACCTCTGTCTCACACATGTAATTACCCAATGAGGTCTTTGATCTGCGTTGTAAACGTCTGTGTGTTTGTGTTGTGTTTGTGTTGTGCTTGTGGGGGACTGTGTGTTTTGACCGGGCTTCTGCTTGTCAGGGTAAAAAGGCAAAAACAAGAAACCAAGACAAAAGTACAGGGATACGGGGGAGACGGTGAAGCAGGCAGGCAGACAGAAACTGAGAGAAAGAGTCAGAGGATCTGCCGTTTGATGTGTGGGAAGTGTCACACTCGATAAGGGATCCGTGAAATAGGTGATTTCACAGTGTCCCTGTGAAGCCCTGCTGAATAATAAAGTGTTGTTACTCATGAGGAGGAGAGGTGAAAGGCAGGAGGGGAGGAGGGAGGAGAAGGACAATAGGATGGAGGTAGAGGGGACACGCTGTGAAAGAGAAGGTGAGATTGGAAGAAGCTGTAAAGAAAAGGACAAAAAAACAGTAAGGGGAGAAAAGAGTAAAGAAGGAAAGAGTAAAAAAGGAGACAGTGGTCTGCTTGTACACGTTCATAAAACACTCAGAGGTCTGGTGCAGCTTAACAATTTTAAAAATGCAAGTCATATTTTCTACTACTTTGATGTTGCCTTTCACACCAATACATATTTTTGATAAGGTAGCTAGCTAGCAACCACTACGTTGTAGAAATTAATTCAAAATAAATCAGGAAACTGACTACAGAACTATCCCTGCAGCCCAACAGCATTTGAAAGAGCCTCTATTTTGTAAATGTATTTGAATGAAACTGTCAAGACGTGGGTGTCAGTAATCAATATACTGTTTATTCTACACAAAATTGTCGTTCATGAATCCAAATCAAAAAAACAAAGCTTTAAAACTGAATTGGCCATTAATTGTCAATAATCACAGAAAACCCAGTCTGTTGTTAGCTGAGCTTGATGATTATATACACATTAAATGAGTTTCTTTGGTAGCTCAGCTCTATTAAGTCTTTATTTCTGGCCATTCATTTTTCATGTTGTTCACAGTGTGGGAGCACTGCGTGGTAACTGCACACTAAATGCTCCCATATATTGTTTTTGCGGTTAATGGCTATTAATCACATGAATCGTGATACATTACCATGCTCTGCCCGTGTGTCTTACTTTTGTTTTATGCATAAATATAAAAGTAGTGGGGCTGCTGAAGTGTTTGCACTGAAACTAAAATGAATTGTACTTGGAGTAGGGGAGCATTAACTTTAACTAGTTTGCCGTCTCTTCCTTTATTTGGTGTTTGAATAGAAGGAAGTACCTAATAATACTAGTTGGTGAAAATAGCTTATATGTGACAGCTGCTGTTTTTAACATCTTCATAACCTGCTTTTACAGAGCTTTTAATAACACAAGCAAATCTGAAAAATAGTATGTAGGGTTTCTTTTCTTGTAAATTTGTGAGTTGTTTTTTTTCCTTGTATATTTACCACTTTAATCTCAGAGAATATGTACAGTTGTTTCTCAAATATTGCCATCTTCCCCCTTCCCCCTTCATTTTTGTCCCTAATAAGCTGTCGTAATTGGACCCATGAATGTATTATTATTAAAAGTATTTTGAATGTTGTTTACCCCATAGATAACCAGGTTTATAACAACATCATGCAAAATGTTATGCTGGATTTTGCTTTTACATTGATGGTGGTTATCACACAATCTTGCACATTTATATGTATGTTCTGTGGAAAAAGGGTTGATACCAAAAATTATTGAAAAGTTGGATAGTGCTAATTTGTATTTTAGGTCTAATTGGTGAATCTACATCCAAACGAAAAGAAACAAACACTTTTAGTGATTCAGATTAACATTTGGTCACCGTGTGTTCATTTTGAGTCTCCAAATGTCCCTTTACAAAATCTGCCTGGACCTTTTCATGGAAAAATTGTCATATTTTGTGCCATCTTCCTCAATTTTAACTCTAACTTTAAGTTCATTTTAACTTGAATCGAATTCAACCTCTGTTGAAGTACATAATGCCTTTTGTTACTTAACACACATCTAACATCTTTTACTTTTCACTTTGTAAGAAGATTGCCCTTCGCTTGTTAGAGTTGTTTAGAATTCTGTAAAATGTATTTGGATGACTTCTGTGCCTTTTTATTAGTCAGACAACTGTAGAGAGATGACAGAAAATAAGGGAAGAGAGATGGGGAATAACATACAGCAATGTTCCCGAACCAAGCTGGATACGAGCTGGGAACGCCAGTTCTTTTAATATTCTTTCTGCTCCAACTTTGAAGAATTCCTGAGTGACAGAAATGTATGTATTTCACCTGACAGGAATTTAATACATTGTATGACACATCAGGTCCAGGCTGCTAAATGACTGTCACTGTTACAATTGTATGAAAAAATTGAGCAGCATGAGATAGAGATAGAGCAGGTAGGCGGCAGATTAATTTGCAAACAAAAAAGATGAGCGTTGGTACTTTACAACCTTAAGAAAGCCATCTCTTCTCTCTGTCTCGTACTTCTCTTTTCCTCTGGATCTCTCTCTTCTGTCATTCTCTGAGGCTAGTTAAAGGATAATAACACCAGATAGTTGAAGGTCTATATCGATTCTGGTGATGTTTCAGACAGATAGCGGTCTAAGAGGCTTATGTTCTGCACGGTGATAACGTTGCTTCTATCTGAGGCCAGAGTGGTTACACTGGAGGGCTGCACTTGTCCACTGAATAGCTTTCACAGCCTTTTCTAACCTGTCTTCATGAGATCACAGCTTCAGATCGATGGAAAAACAGAAAATAGCATCACAGGGGTAAATTGGAGTTTATGTTCATTTGTGTTCTGCCTTACTGTACTGTGGGCGCTCATTAGCAGATGTAACACGCACTGGAAGTGTTTAAACCAAGAAGTATGATTCCACTGTCTTCCCTGTTGCTAAAATGAAAGTGTTGCTGGGGCCCTGTCTACACTATGTCACCATGTCTCCACCTCTTTGTCGCTCTCTCATATTTTATCTCTCACTTTTTTCCATCCTTGTCAACCGACTCGCATGTCTTCTATCCCCTCCTCCTCTTTAGCACCCTTCCCTCCTTCCATCACCTCCCAGTCTCTCTCTGCAGTGGCATTTTTTAGTTATGTCAGACTTGTTTGTTAAGTCACAGTCGCTGAGTCGTGCCACTAAAAGGTGTCACATTGTGCCAAAAGGACTGTTAACTAAAATGTTGCTTTGGGTGTTATATATGGATTTTGTGCGCGCGTCTGTGCCGTATGGTATTTGGTGTAAAGGGAAGGTTTGAGCTGAGCACGAACAGGAACATTATCTGAGGAAAGGAAGCTTCAAACTTGCACATATTGTAAACTGTAATGAACTAAAAGAATAGGCATGGGTTGCTGGAATAGTTTTACAGTTTTAATTGGTGATGTGGATAAGTTAATTAGTCAGTCAACCAATCAAAGCAATTCTGTATGTGATCTTTATCACTGTAAAGGGATTATATCTGGGCTTTAGTCTATGCATCTGACAAAACAAGCAATTTCAAGACATCATGTTAGGCTCTGGGCATTTGTAATGATGTTTTTTGCACTATTTTCTGACATTTTATTTACTGGTTAAACAAGTTTATTTATATATCCCAAAATCCCAAGTTTGTACACCAGTGAGCTTTTAGATCTGCACACCCCTGTATGGCACCCTCTATTCAAAACGCTTGATTAAATATAGCATGGCAAACTGCATCCATTTTGGGGATTTAAACTTAGGTTTTGGTGTATTGTTACCCGTTAAGCTGCTGGGAAAAGAAGCCCTCTCTCTCATCATCGCATCCCAGCATTTATACCATTTAAGCATTGAGTGTGTGTGATTCAGTTTCTGGTTTCAGGCTTTTAAGATGTTGCAGATAACACTTCTGTGCGACCATCCACTCAGGATACAGTTTCTGTGTTTGTAGCGATGATTTATTCCCCGTGGAGTTCTGCTGAGGCTATTGAAACCTAAACGGTGTTTAGCATTTGCAGTAGAAGCACACACACACACACACACATACACTATCAGGATGTTGCCTAAGGGAGCATTTTGCCTGTTGAAAAGCTCTTTACGTGTCAGAGACTCTCCAACTGTCCCTTTGAGAGATGGGCCAACAGTTCACGTTACAACAGAATGGCTCGATGATTGATGCAAAACTCACACTCACTTCGGAACTTAGAGAATAAATCACATAACAAACTATAGTGGAAATGGAAACTTTGCAAAGAACCAAAAACAACATGAGCAACCAAAGGAAGTTTTCTGCTCTCATAATATTGCAATTTGAAGGGGGAAAGTTAAAAGGAATGCGGGTTGTTCTTCCAGGTTTTAATATGTGTAACCATACTACAGTAATTAAGAGAGTTCAAAAATAACTATGTACTAAATAAGTAAAATTTTTGTATCACTTGTAGACGTTCACGTTGTCACTACATTGGAACTGTTATAACTTGTGTGTGGTGTCCTTTTGCAGACTGCCAAACTTGGTACACCAAACGCTATTTGCCAGATGTGTAGAGTCAGAGTTGACTTCATGGGCTCCTCTGCCAACATCTACTGAATAGCAAGATATAAAGGGATAGTTTAATTAGTCACAGGTGCACCTCGTTGCCAGATTGCAAATGGGTTTTTTTTTCAGAAGCAGAGCTTGCTTTGGAACCAGAAATAATCTCGGCAGTTGAGTTAAAGCTCAATGGACTGCGCCAAATAACCTCAGGGTAACTAACAAACTTGAATTCCAAAGAAGAATCTCTTTTTCTTTACCAGCATGATGGAAATAACACACCAGCAAAGGAAGATGTACTCTGTGTAAATTCTAACATGGAAATCCCCCTCTTTTCACCACCATGTTTGAAATCATGTTTGGCCTTTTTTGTGATCTCTGTGTCTTTGATGTTTCATCTTCAGTTTAATATTTCATAACATACAATAATCGCAGCAAGCATTACAATTAGCTCTGTGCATGTAAACAACAAAGGATGAGGTGTCATCAAAAGATGACTGCTTTATAGATGTTGATGGTTACCCAATGGATTTTTACAACTTTGGCACTATTTCTCTTGTGTTCAGTCACTGTCAGGATGTTATGTCAGTCATGTTAAATACCGCAATTAAAGGGATGCACTATGTTAAACTGCTGGATTTGTACTGCTCGATAAAATGAATCTGCTTAAAATTGTACAATGTCTTTACGGGGTGCGTGTGCGTGTGCGTGTGCGTGTGTGTGTGTGTGTGTGTGTGCGTGCGCGCGGACTCGCAGCACCCTCCCCAGTGAGTGTGGTGAGAAAAGGTCACACAGGGAAGAGCAGCATCAGCCTTTCTTGGGCAGAGCCTGACCGCCCTAACGGCATCATCCTGGAGTATGAGATCAAGTATTTTGAAAAGGTAAAAAAAAATTATGAATTGTCCTTATTTTTGCTTCTTATACATGAAAGCTGCGTGTCTCTTTCCACTGGCCTTGGCTGACTGTGGCTTCTGAGTACCTTTCTGGAACTCTTATAAAGATGTTTGTCACAGAGGTATTGATTTTTGCATGCACTTTTATGCATATTGGATATACAGTGTCCAGATTATAAGATTATGATTGGTCACATGGGAATCTGTGTTAATTACCACATAGCGTTAAACCAAATCTTTTATTTTAAGGTCTGTTGTAAAGTTGACACTTATTGTCAACATTTTTTTTTTCATGTGGAGTGTATTTAGTCAATGTTCACCCAAATGCAAAATAATCATATACAAATGTTACAAAATTGGTGTGCTTGTATTTTGTTGTGCATTTTGATCAGGTCCTCTTGGAAAACCTTTACCTCAAAAAGACTCTTTCATGTGACCGCGCTCTCACTCTGTGGTTTTTATTTTATTTTTTTTTTAAGTTGGACTTTGGTAGAGACAGCTATTGGATGCTTCTATTCAGATCATTGTTCCTGTGCCCTTCCTCTTTTCTCTCTTTCATCCTCTGATGTCTTCTTTTCTGGGAAGGTCAGAATAAAGCTATACAGGAGAGCAGAGCAGGGTTTGTGGTCAGTGGTTAGCTAATGGCTTCTGGCTAATGGAGGGGGCATTTAGCTTTGTTTAAACCTGATGTGGTTACAGTTGGGGAAACTGATCCTCACACACATGCACTTACACACACTCCCACCCACACACATACTACAGGTAGCTAAGCCAAAAAATGTGTGTAGAAGAATAGGGAAAAGGGTGCAGGCAAGAAGACGTACATGTACGGAATCTGGCAGGATAATTACTGGAACAGCAAATCATGGCTATGAAAATGTATGTAAGGCACATGAATTATTTACAATTTTGTATTTTTCTTCTACAGGAGCAGGACTCCAGTTACACTATTATAAAATCCAAGGAGACTGAGATGGTGGTGGAAGGCCTGAAGCCCTCTTCAGCCTACATCTTCCAGGTCAAACATGGGTTCAAAAAATCTAAATTATCATTGATAAATAATGTGAGGACAAAAAGAAAATTAAAGCAGAATAAAATATGTTGGAATGGCAAAAGGCACTTTAGTGTAGTCTGAGATGAGAAGAGTTGAATAAGCAATTACAAAGAAGTTATTGGATCAAAGTAATTCATATGAATATATATGAAAATATAATGTGATATATTTGCATGTGATGCATTACAGGTGAGAGCCAGGACCTCAGCAGGCTATGGCGCATTTAGCCGACGTTTTGAATTCCAGACCAGCCCTTACTGTGAGTACAGAGAGAGCGCATGACAGTGCAATAAATGTTCAACTTGTAGGTGACTCACACCTGCATGAAAAACAGATGCCAGGTGTGTTTGTGTGTGTGTCTAATCCCACCTCTTTTGCTCATCAGTAACTGCTACCAGTGAGCGTGCTCAGGCTTCGATAGTAGCTGTGGCCATCACATTGGCTTTGGTCCTACTGGCTGTAGTCGCTGGATTCCTGCTCAGTGGACGGTAAAACAGAAATACACACCTTAAGAAACATGAGCACAACCAGGAAAGCATGTATATATTGCTCCTGTGGATGGGATATATGCATATTAACACATAATGTTATGTGGCATTGTACGTGTTGTGTATGATGTGTTTAGGGTGTCATTAAATGAAATACATCAGTATTCAGTAACAGAACTGGTAGAACACGTACTGTATAAAGGTAGGATGAGCAATCACATGTCTCGACATGAGTGTATGATGTGAATTTATGGAAGAGTTTGTAGTGACACCTCTTATCCTCTCATCTTTTGGAGTAAGAGATGGTATGGGATGATGACTTGACTGACATTACTCACCTTAAGGGAATAATGAAAAGTGCATTTCACAAAAGGACATTCGGACATAATTTGTTTAGAAACCGTTCTATCCATGAAATTCTTGAACAAGAGGTTGCTTAGATTTTATTTTAAGGTCAGTTATTATTGTTTTGGAAATCACAGCATTCATGTACATCTCTGTATATGCGGATGTATGTTAGCTTAGCCAGAGGCCATCCCCATGTCCTCTTCTGACCCATTGCTGAGTAACAGACCCCGATATGTCTGTGTTGCTGAGCAGCATTATGGGATTAGATGCATGGCTTGAGGTTAGAGTTTTTGAATAGGTCAGTATTAAGGGTTGCTTTTTAGGATATAGCTTTAGAGGCTGATGCCAGTGGATTCTCCTCAAGGGTAGTGACACAACTTTCCTCTGTTACACGTACAAGTATTTAGCACTCCATACACAATATACTACGTTAATGTTGTGTCTGCGTGCCTCCCGTGCTCATGTGACCTTCATTCAACCTTGTCTTATAATTGCTACAACCAATTTTCTGATATCATTTTCACATATACTCACACATACAACATGCACCAAAGCAAATTCTGTATCTAGCAACAGCATATAGTTGAGTGGACGTTAAGCCTCTTATTCTATATGATTTTTATGTCCATAAAAGTCCCTGAAACTATTTTTATTTGTCTGTAAAAGTTCCTTCCTTAACCACATTTCCCTGTGAGATGTATCTAATTAAGTTAATTACCCACTTTATATATCCAAACCCCTTCACTGCCCCATAATTAAAAAAAGCTGATGGCAGTTTTCCAAAACTCAAAAGTGTGAATTCAGATTCTAATGGTCTGTTCATCCACCCATCTCTCTATTCATGCATTTGTATTATTGATCTTTCTTCCTATCTATCCATGGATTCTTTTTTTCATCCATGCACTCATTTTGCAACATAGTGTAGTTATTTGACAGACTGATCAGATGAATGAACAGTGGGAGCAGTGGTGTTTTCAAAGATTAAAAAGCAAATCAGAAAGACACAGCGAGGATTTTGGTTTAGCCGAACAGGGATGAGGATCGCTCGGGTTTATTGTGGGGGAGGAGAGATGGAGGAATGCCAAAATTTTCCAGAGATGGATTTAGGACACAAGCACCACAACCCCCTCTAACCACTGTATCCCCACCTCCCCTTCCCTGCTCCTGCGTGACCCTCCAGAGTACGCACACATGCACACAGACATCCAAACACCACACATATGCACTGATGCATGTATGCATGGGTTAACACACAAACTCAGACGCACAAATGCAGGAAGTTGGAGGGCAGGCTGGGCATTGAGCATTTTCAAACCCCTTGACTCAACAGATCCGGCAAACTAAACACCCTCAGGCAGACACACATGTACAAAACACACACACGCACAAGACTCCCCTCCCCCAGACTATCCAGCTGCCCATACCAAACGCCTCCAGCCAAGCCTGGCTGTTCTACAGAGAACCATGATGGGAAAGACTTGTGTTGTGTGTGTGTTGTCTGTGTTTTCATGCACTTTGGCTTTTTGTCTTCAAGAACGAAAAATTTGGAAAATTCCACTCAAAACAGTTTGTTCACACTTGGTTTTACAAATGCAGTAAAGTAAATGAATGCATTTACCTCACAAATATACTTATTTGAGTGTGTCTCTTTGCCCATTTGATCAATGTCATGTGTTTGCTTTTGTGTCTCTGTGTTTGCATATAGGATCAAATTTTAAAATCAATCTTCCCATTTAATCTGGGTTATCTGTGATCTCTGATTATCTCTGATGTGTCCTGTCTAAATGTTGACACACACACACACACACACACACACACACACACACACACACACACACACACACACATACACAGTCACATCAAAACGCACTGCTCTCTCCTCTCCCAAATGTCAAAAGTCAGAGTTGATCTATTGGCAAGGGCTTTCATGGAAAATTATAATATTTGAAAACTGCAGACCTTTGCTAACGTCTTAAAGGCTGGTAGTTTTCAGCAATATTTTTTAAAAAGCTTGAAATGTACGTTACCAGATCCTATGAGGAAATAAAATGTTTATCTTGCCCACTGCTGGCCAGGATAGATTTGTTTGGGCCATGTTGTGGTACCTTTTACTGTGGTCTCATCAGTTACTCTTTTTTTCCTAGTGTAAATGACGCTGTTTGCTCTTTGTTTAGATACACGGTACATAAAAGGAATGAGCACCTACAGTATTTTGTGCTACCTTGTATTAGAAATTGGA